TTCTTCTCTTCACTGCAAGCAGGCTCAGGTCTCTGACCTTCATGCGATTTGGGTACCGTGTCATGATTTACTAATTTGGTGGATCACGATCAGTTTTGCCACAAGTTCTTCTGGGCCTGCACCAGCTGCTCCGGCGCGATCTCCACTCGATCTGGCTGCTTATCGCTCCTTCGCCTCGGAAGAGGTGAAGGGTCATACCAGATTCCGACTAGCAGGGTTGTATAGCGAGGATGCTGAATAAGCATTATATGATCTCATATGAGGGACCGGGTCATACTACTCAAAATCTCAGCTGAGGGTTCCAGGTGCTTAAGGGGGCAGAGGGTAGTGGATCTGCTGATTTCCAATGTAAGCCTGATAATGCGGCACCCGCTGCAGTAAAGCCCCCCGTTCATACTGAGCTGGTGCTCTTTAGACGTTGCCCCGAAACAATTCTTGGAGAGCTTGGTCAGATTGCTTAGTCAGTGCTCATGATTACTATAACGAGTTGAGGGTAGCCATGCAACGGGGGTGCCTCATGTAAAGAAGCCCGCACCAGGCTGGATGTGTGCTTTCCCCATTTCCACAGTGTGCAGGGTTTTCGATGACCAGATCCACATCTGCATCGTCGACCAAAGTTGGCATTATAAGCAAGGTACCCCACAACAATTCCCTCACATTGAAGGAGGCTGAAAACTTGACGTTCAAGAAGGAAGTTATGTAAAACTGCTTGCAACGTTGCAGTTCTCAGCTCACAAAGCCCAAGGGGCAAGGTCTTTGGACACCAGATCCGCACCCTGCATCTTCGAGCAAAGCAATAATGTGAGTAAAGCCACCTCCATATCTGAGTACAAGGGGTGCCACCATGCAAGCCCAGTGATCATCTAAACAGTCCCTGCTAAGGCAAAAGGATTGCGCAAGGCATTGTACACCTAGCAATGCCCGAAGATCCCTTGCAGGCCGAAAGGCGTGATAGACCTGGTCGGAGAGGAGCGGTCGCCTCCCTTCTGCCATGCCATGCTCGAGGCTGAACCCAGAAGGGGGCTAGGGTTTCGGAGTTTTCGGGTGTAGGTTAGGGTTGGGGATGCGTGCGGAGCACAGGAGTTTGAGCTCGGAGGGTTTTTGGTTGATGTGGCTGAGGACCTCTCAGGAATGGATGGTTTGAAGCAACATGCGCCTGCTTCAAATGCTCGAAGTCGAAATGCTTGTACGTACACCTGCGCCGTGCAAGTCTAGATCTCTTCAAGAATAAGCAATATGTTGAGCATGCTCTGCTGATACTCGCTGGCGCTCAATCTCACATTACTCGTCAGAGCCGCAAGGAATTCACTTTCGTGAAGCAACAACACTTGAGCAAATGCTGCGCGTCAGCATGACTCCTCGTTCCTTTGAGAGAAGACTGGGATCCTATCCTCATGATCCGACTCATTACTACGGATGACTTCCTTCCCTTCCTTTGGAAAAACCTGCCAGATGTACTGTTACCTGTGTGAATCTGCGGAGCCGGGCTAGCTTGTGATTGTCATTGGAGGAAAGTGTTCAGGGCAGTTTGGCCTCAGCCGTCCAAGTGGGAAATGGGCAAAGACTAAAACATGGGAATGAGATAGAGGAATAAGCTGGTACCGCAGTAATAGTAGTGGCTGGAGGGCGCACATTCAACAAGCAGCATGCTGCCCGTCTGCTGGTGCAGCCTGCCTTTTACTGCTGTAGCTTTAAGGGTACGGCCTCAGCATCATCCAATGCCGGCTTCCCAGCTATGGCCTAAATCAGCTCTCTGGGGAAGCTGAAGCCCCGCTCACGTGCCGGGCTCATGAAAGTCAGCCCACTCCACGACATTGAAACCTATCCCGCCACTGCAGCGAAAGCGAAAGGCTACCCATCCCGGCAAGGCCGAGAGAGCGTCACGTCAGTATATGATTTCTACGCATTTGCGGAGTCAACCCGCTGCCAGACCTGGCTGCATATAGGCAGGAACAGAAATGGTAAACAATCCAAGCTCTCATTAGCACGTGGTGCCGGCACGCCAAGGATCAAACAAGTCTGAAATAAGTCTCTGTGTAACATTTCGCCTTCACTATTGACCTCATTGTTGAGAACATGTTAATCCAGGCCGCAATCTTCTTTGGAAAGTGCCGGTTGGCTGCACCCTTGAATCTACGGCCCGGCACTCAGAGTCGATGCACCAGCATCCTGGAATGCGCCGCAACACTTCCCTACCCGGTACTCTCGGTTGCCTACAATTCAAGCCTTACTTCAAAACAAGCGACCGATCGCTCCCACACGGAGCAGCTAAAGACATCTAAAGACAAGGAACCCTCTCTCTCTCTCTCTCTCTCACCCTCCCTCTCCCAGGTTCTTTCTGCACTCCTTCCGCACTCCAAGCCCTACACCTTTGCATGATCCAATCTTGCACCGAGGCTCGGCTAGTCGCGTCCCCGGGCAGGGTCTGGCGCCATGAAGGCCTGAAGATTCAGCTTGAAGCATATCAGCATCTTGTCGTGGAATTGCAAGGGAGTATGAGAAGGTCCTTTCCAAAAAGATTGAAGTTCTGACTCCAAGAGTCCTACAGCGTGGCTGTCAGAGTTTGGACAGTGGGGCCGCTAGGAAGTAAGCAGGCTCATTCAAATTTGCTGCGGCCGACCATGACTCGTTTGGAACCCAGAAATTCCTCTTGGACTCTCAGTTTGCCACAACTTGTACAGATTTCATCGAAATCGAAGGCAGGGTATATCACATTAGTTATACTGGACACCGTTCACTGAATTTACCCTCGTCATCATGGTTGTCGTAGTGGCGGCCATTGTGGCAGTGGTTGGGTGGTGGGGCAGTTGCGGCGGTGGCCGCGACTCTGGCGATTACCGTGGTTGTGGCACTGGTGGCAGCGGCGGCGGTGGCCGGGCGCCGGCGGTAGCAGTGGTGAATGATCGGTTTATGTATACGACGATGCTGATGCTGCTGGTGCTAGCGCCTGTGACAGGGCTGGTCCACTGGTGGTGTTCTTGTCCCGTCCGCTCGGGCAGCGGGCAAGGGTTCATGTTCTTGCGGTGGCACCAGATTTCCAAAATTACAGATGATGTGGCTGGGAGGTATGCAACTTCTGCATGAGTACTCAGTTCGAGCTAGCTCTCACAGTATGTTTTGCTGCGCATTACTCATTAATGGTTATGACTTCTTTGTTCTGCTATAACTTTATGGCTTGTCGATGCTACTGTTAAGGCAAATGATGCCACCATGGAGCTACTCTTGCCATCTCTTGCCAATATTCCTTCATCTCGAATTGGNNCGTGCTTGCGCGGAGCTTGCGTGCGAAGTTTGGCTCAAAATGTTTTTGTGCAGGCTCATTATGCCACAGTTTGAGATGGCTGATATTTCTATGAAGCATAAATAGCCAGGCTGGCCAGCGACCAGCCACTTCCTGAACGACGTCGCATCGCTGCTAAAGACAAGGAAGCTAGAATGGGCTAGAGGCGGTCAACAGCTATACGCGCTTGTGCGCAGCTTGCGCAAAGCTTGTGCCGAATTCGCCGTGTAATTCTGAACTTCGCTGTTGACGACAAGGCTTGCATTGAGCCATAGTTCGGCAGTCAAGGGCCTGCACCGTTCCTTGCACCGTGCGTGCCCGGAGCTTGCATGCGCCTACCTTTGACAGCTTATGCTCTATTTTTTTCGTCCGTATAAATCGCAGACAAAGGTTTTCGGACAACCCCCCAATGATGAGAATAACTCTACAGCATCCACACGTGCTGGCCTCCAGTTGCTGGTTGAGGTCGTCAATGTCCGGCACAACCTGCCTCGGGCTGCGAGCCTGAACAGGACATTGAGAGTTTTGAGCACACCCTTCCTGGGACCTTCCGGGGGGACTCAGGAGCTGTCTCAGGAGTGAAACCTGGGGCCACCAAGGCACAAGCCAGCTGCAATGGGGTCTGAAGAGACAGAACTGTAAATGATGAATTCCGCGCACCTTAGGAACTTTTCCCCCAACATAGAATGTAGTTGTTTTCGCAGCACGGCCCCTTCCCCAAGACATGATTTTCTCCATTCAATCTGTTCTGAATGAAATAAGCATGCTTGAGGGAAAGGGATCCTACGAGCTGTATAAGATCACCCACATCTTTGTACAACCTTCAGGAACCATGAACAGATTTGGCAATGAAGGGACACAAAATCTGATGTTGAGCCACTTCTCAGCAGCGAATGTTAGCAGTTGTGGGCTGTGCTCCAGCCATAGGCTTCCGCTCTCGCGAACGACTACGATCATCCAGAACTAAATCTGAAGTGCCCTCACCGAAGCTGCTGCGCAAATGCTGCAGCTTGGAATCTCCTGATACCATGCACCTACTACAGCAAACCTGAATCTGGCAAACTGCTCCACTGCAGAAGAATGATGCCCGCATCTGGATTGCTACGTTCGCTAAAGCAATGCTAGCCCAGGTTGTAGCGCACAATCTCAGGCCTGCGCCCTTCGTCCACGGCCTCCACGAGGCCTTACAGGAAGTTCAAGCTGAACAGTCTAAAAACAGCCAAAACAGATCAACAAGCTGCAATGACTCAGCTCGATGTAATACTCGGTCGACAATGCTTGGTCTTTGAACTTCGAAGCTTGGGGGGCTTACTCTGCAAGAATCTTCTGCAAAGTTTCGGGCTTAGAGCATGGGCCACGGTTGCTGGGACGTCATTTGCTCATACCCGTGTACCATAAGAGTCTCACATAACCCGAATATGTTCGGACTCTTTTTAGTCAGGACTACCAGGTGACTACCACAAAGACCTATGAGTTCTCATAGGCGGATCACGACATTTCTCGTCTTTCATGCGTTATATCTATATTAACCCCTTCGATCCTAGTTGCTAAAGCAAAATTCTTCTAAATTGTATACACTAAGCTCCAACCACCAAATATGAACATCTCAAAAACTGGATTCCTTCATACTACTTAACCCCTGTTGGCCACCAAACTCCCGTCCTTCGAGGTTGAGGGGGTGTTGGAGAGGCTTCTCGATATGCAGCCTCGCGGGCGGGGCAAAATCAGCTTCATCAAATGAAGCCATCTTCAGCCTCTGCTCCTTCACATCCCGGGGGATGGCCCTACCCTACCCTCCTGGGCCAGCGTCTTGAGTCAACCTGACAGCTGCATCTCCTGCAATAGATCAAACGTCCGTACAACAACTCACTTGCCGGATGATCCAAGCCTCCAAACGTTTGTAAGTGTTTGACCTTGAGGTCTGACTCGCTAGGTTTTGAGCCGTATCGTTGGACGGATGAAGTTGAGTGAATCGACCACCGTACTTGTAAGCGCTCCTCTCTTGGAACGAGATTCATCCACAGTAAAATCAAACATCGGATCACGCTGTTGGGTAGTTGCCCGTTTCAAGCCAGGCCGACATTTCAACATCAGCTCTGCGCCTTGTAGTTCTTGAAGTCGGCCTGCCACAGCTTCTTCGTGGTCCCAAAGAAAACTCACAGACTGCTACAACTCTGACATGCTTATAGCACGACCCTAATCGCAGCTATTGCCAACAAATTCTCTTGAAGTTTCTTAGAGGGTCGATACTACCCACGAGAATTCGGGCTTGACCGTCGCTGAAGAACCATTCCATTTCGCCGGACATTAGCTGGAACTGTTGCTGCTTCGGATAGCTACAATATAACATGCCCGCAAAATCCATCGCATCCATACGCACGGCAATACGCCCTACGCCAGAGAGTCACAGACGGAGCCATGGAAACAATGCATCCTGAGAAACAACGAAAGAAGTTAGCATGAAGCTCTACTAGAAAGGGGTACACTGCTTTCAAGAATGGGAGACTTTCACCCGTACAGGCTCATCCTTCTGTGATGTGGTGGACCAATTGACGGAGCCAGCGTTCCTAGCGTCCGAATGAACATACTTCTTTCGCTGGGCAGCCCATACACAAGAAAGACCGCTGAGATTGCTGGTTGTTTCGGTTATCTTTACCTGAGACAAAAAGTCCACACTAGAGAAACCTACCACGATGAACACGCAACCACCAATCTCTGGATTCCAAACCCCCAACTCGAACTCACCAAGCAGTCAGCGTCTGCTAAAGCGTCTGCCCCCCATCGGGCTGACAATGAAGCTCCGAGGGCTGGACGGCGCCGCCGTTCCAGCTGCTACCTGTCTTGAAGGGTTCTCAAGTGTGTTCAATGAGTGCCTGGCACGACACGGTTTGCACCCCACATTCAACCAGGCTGAAAAGTCTGATTCCTGAATGAGACTCTGGTATGTGGGCAAGGCCAGCGATCGTGATGATATGGCAGGATCTGCATCACTCCTCCCCCTACCAAAACATTTTAAAGGGCACATTCCCTCTAGTGCAACTCTACAGAAACTGTGGCGTCGGAAGATGACTCACATGGGCGAGCCACCACCTGAGTGAGGGTAATTTCAAACGATTTCATCATGCTTCACAAGCTACGGCTACGACTCCCGCATCGCGTTCCAACAGTTGCCATGCCACAGATCATAGAGATCCCAGAAGCAGAAGGTCCAAGTCAAACTCTGCTTCCCACACACCCGTATTGTGGTGCAACCAATCTGTGCAAAAATCTTGCCGCAAATAGAGCTTGCGGTCTGTGGAAATTGGAAGCACCTGCACCTGAAACCAAAAACCCCTCCATCAGCAGCCCCGACCAAAGTCCAGAGCTACAGCGGTCCTCCACCACTTCCTCGACCATAAGCGTTGTTGGTTATTCTTGAATCCTGTCGGCCAGCGATCACACTTGAGGAAAATCCCAGAATCAGAAAGCTTGAAGTTCTAGGTAATCAGGCTTCGAGCAGCGGACCAGAGCAAAACTTGTGGCCCGAATGGCCACAAAGCAGGCCGCGATTTCTCTAAGGAGGGGGATCTGTATTTCATCAAAGGCTTTACCGTAGAACCTGTAGCCTCAACCTTGCTCCCGGCAGCCATCTGCTGACCTCTGCCTTGCTTCAGCTGAAGCCCGGAATCTGTGCATGCTACATGAAGCAACCAGCCTGACTTCTGTCATAAGCTGCTGTCAGGACCTCGCAGCAAAGCGAAGTTTCATCATGCAAAGGCCCCTCACAGGTCTCTACGAGTGTCGTTGCAGGTGGTGTCTACAGTCTTGACCTGACTCATCAGTGACCTGCTCAGAAATTCTTTCATGCCAGTCTTGTCGAAAGGCATGTTTGAACTTGTATGATCCTTGAAATACAATGGTTGCCATGCTCTTGTCAATCAGTTCCGCGCCTCTGCCAGGGGCTCTGAAAGGCTGGCATCCGTGTCCTTAAAGAGACTGACATGCCTACGCGGAGTGTTGGGGGGAGAGTTCTCAAAAGGGGCGCGGGTCGATCTAAAGCATGGCCCAACTCCCTGGGATCCGTTCTTGTCATCAGCCTCTTGCCTGAGCGCATCTTCAGAAGACGGATACCTTGCTGTCCGGGAATTAAACAGCATTGGCCCTGCACCATGCTCTGTCTCGCTACTTTTTTGAACTGTAGTTGGTGCCCATACAAGTCGGCCGGCTGGCCCAGCAAAAACAAGAGGAAGGACAACTGAGGCTAAGGAACATACAAGTACCGCGACAATGCTAGAGTCCCTGTGTACAAACAAATTGTACTACTTCTGTAGGGTCACCGAAAGCTAGGTCCATTTGACGGTGCAGTACAGCCGGGGCGACGGCGCGAATGTCTCGCTCGAGGGCATTGGCAGCTTTCTGCGCGCAATGGCGGTGTTCAATCAAGCAGCAAGAAAGCAGTGCTGAGATCATGCTGGTTCTCCCTACGATCCGCATTTGCAGGGTCACCGAGAAAAAACACTTACGTCAACTTGACAGATTAGTTACGGATGGGGGCCTGTAGTTTCGAGAGTATTTTTGGGAATAGGCAACCTTTCTTGTGTATTGTGAAATTATGACCAGGCTGCGTAGAGCCCATGATAGACTGGGTTGTGGGCATGTTGAGCCCGGTGTACTGAGTGTCTTGGGGTTCAGGCAGATCTGACGAAGAATTTGACATCCTGGTGAGCGGCTTCTGGATGAATCATGCTGTTGCTTTGCTTCACTAATGCAAGGTCACACCGACGGGCCGTGAACATACTTCTATTGACGTCATGTGGCTAAAGCTTGCCCTGGAAGAACTTCAGCACCAAGAAGTGCTGTGGCAATTGACGTATCCCAGTGGCTGCATTGAGAACGTAGGGCAAGGACTGACCAAAACAACACTTCTAATTCCGAGACGGCCCTGAATCTTGACAGCACCCCAAAGTGTAGTATTCCGGCGCGCCGTATCCAGCAATGCCAGCATGATGCACAGTGCAAACATGACCTGTGCTCTGGCAACAGTTTGGAAGTTTGAAGCCTACGGTCAGGTAAGCCCTGTGAATGAAGAAGGTCACAGCAACAGCGGCANNCAGCAGCAGGAGGAAGTACTCGTAGTGAAAGATGGCAGCAGTTGTCACAGCTGCTGTTAGTAGTAGTTGTTGTCGTATGTGGGTGTAGGGAGCAAGGATCCAGTGGCAAGGCCAATACTTTTGGTTTCTGGTAGTCACGAGAATATCTGCCAAAAATGGGCAAATTTGAGGGAATTGCTAGCCTCTGCGGCGTTTCACCTGATCGAAACATAAATATGCTGCAGGTTGATCAACGCACACGTGGAAGAATCTTAGAACCGTTCATAAATGCCTGGAAGCCAAGCCCTCAAAATCCCAAAGCACCCAACCCTACGCAACCCCAAGCCCCAAATCCTAGAGTCTAAAAAGTCCCTCAGCAACCCCAAGCCCTCAACAGACAAACCCCTGTACAAACGTAAGACCTGAATCCTACAACCCATGACCTCACGCATTCGGCTCTCCTCCTCCTACTACGACTAAGTAGTAGTAGTAGTAGTAGGAGTAGTAGTAGTAGTAGTGGTAGTAGTAGTAGTAGTCGTAGTAGTCGTAGTAGTCGTAGTAGTCGTAGCAGTCGTAGTAGTCGTAGTAGTAGTAGTA